GTCTGATAATTGTGGCCATCTTGTGGTATAGCTCAGTTGTGTAACTTATATTGAAACACGTATACACAAAATGTCTGCATGGCAGGATATATGTGGCGATGGTTTACCATTCCCTGAACAAAGTGATAAGCCGTTATTAGGATAGTGTGACATGTTAACAAGTCTTGCCGATAATGGGGTTTGAATAACTCATCCGGAAAACAGAGAGCTGCAATCCATAGAACTCCACCCGACCTTGTAATGACTCCTGAGACATCGCTGCCCGGGGGATAGGAGAATGTGACACGTCTAGCTTGAAGTATAACAGGGCCTCATCATGGTTAACATGCTAAGATCTGCCAGGTCATCAGTTGTAACTGTCTGTTCAATACTTTGTTATATAGAGCACTGTATACATTCTCAGTATCTTGAAGCAAAGGCATATACAAAGTCAATTCATGAGCTGACCTAGAACATCCTACCTGCCAGTCGCCTGCAGGTTGTCCATATACACTCGATCGACACATGCTTACGCTCGCCACGATACGGGGGATCCGCCGCCGGCGAGATCGGCGTGCTGATGAGGCCAATATGGCCCAGTGTCGCGGCCAGCTGCGACCCGTGACCGCGCCAGCGCCGCGCCGCGCCGACCGCCTGCCGCCGACGGGCCGTAGGCCGTGCTCTCAGAGCGGTATACGGCGCCGCCACGGCACAACGACGGCACACGACCGAGCTCGTTATAAATTCCGACTCTGTCGCAGACAGCGTCATCCGCCCGATGACGTTTTGAATTAATCATCGAGAGAGCGGCAGGGGGAGCGTGTTTAGGCATAAATTGACTGGCTCGGCCCGTATTGGCTTAATGCCGTGACATTGCGGTCTGCGACAGCCTGTCACGCGCTACAATAGATCCGCGACAGTGTGCGAAATTGAAACTGTTTCTGGGAGATATCTGAAAAGAGTCAAGGGCTTTATTATTCTTTCTTTTTTTTCTTCAGCGTTATCGTTACCGCCGGAATATGGCGAGCAGAAAAGCCAGGATGTCTTGCGGCACAGTCTACCGCTCCAGTATTCTGGACTACGCTACCTTGCGGTACAGTCTAACATTCCAGTGTTCTGTAAAGGCGCGCTACCTCACCGGCATTGGTGGTGGGGCCCAATGCATCACAAATACATGGCTTATTTGCTGTGTTGGAACGGGATCATAACACGAAATGTTATATATTCATTGATGTGTACTGTGAACATATGTACACTGTACATTCGTTGTCTAGAGTTTCATTTTACACCTGGCCTGTAAACAATAGAAAGAGTTCGCTATTTTATGGTGTAAAGTAGCGCTGTTCAAAGCGTTTTATCAGCCCGTTTGACACTGAATTGCTGTTTTTACCCATACACTAGCTAAACCATCAACACTAGAACCAAGCTCTGTCACACACCCCAGCGTGCAGTGACACCCATCCCCTTTCTGTACGCAGGCGGCAGCGAGCACCCGTCACTGCTGGACCCGCCGATTGTGGTGCGAAACGGCACCAACGCGTCGGTGGTGCTCGACTGCGCCTACACACTTCCGCCCGACGACACGCTACTGCACGTCAAGTGGTTTCACATCCGCAGTGCCTACACCCTCGTCTTCCAGGTAAGACGAGGAGCCACACATCAGTCTTACCTCGTCTTCCAGGTAAGACTGATTGGTCTGTCGGTCTGTGAAGGACGCCTTACAGCTGCAGTGGTTAAGTTGGATGTTGAAGTGGTGTGCTGAAGTGCTGCGCATTAACGTTGAAATAAGAGATAGCAGTGATACTTTGGTTGAAACAGCGAATGTCTGTTTTTCAAGCGACTTTTTGTATCGCCACTTCTTGGATAATTGAAAATCCGAAGTAGCTCAGACTCCACGAGTTCGATCAATTTCACTTTGGTCCTCTAGTCATCAAGCAATCTCACTTGTGCATGGATGCCATAAACTGCATCAGCCAATCACTACATACAGCGCTTACATACACTACATACAGCGCTCAGTAAGGAGCAGATTATGTTATCGTTCATGTTTCACTTTCCGTTCACAGTGGATCCACGGCCAGCGACCGCAGGCGCTGGGTCCTCTCCGTCACAGGGTTAACCTCAGTTTCACGGCCTCGGAGACGGCCAACGAGCGGTACCGGGCGATGCAGATCCTCCGGCCGACCGTGGAGCTGAGTGGTCGCTACATGTGCAAGGTGACGTCCACTCGGCACGACTTCACCCGCCACAAGCGACTGGTGGTCTACAGTGAGTATTGGTGACGGTGGAAAGCTGATTCAGTGCATGAGGACTTTATTTATTGCATTGGGTCTTGATTCGTTGCATGTTGAGATTAAAATGCAAAGAAAATGAGGACATATGAGTGGTAGAACGTTGACGGATGCTTGAATGACAGAAGAATGCTTCATCAATAATAGATATAGAGAGGGTTGCGAGAGGAAAATTCGATTCTCAAACTAACTTTGCTCATTAGTGGCGTACAGTTTCCAAATCAGTCTGCAATTAGGACAGAAATCATTTATCTAACTTTTGAGTTGACTGCAAGTCGCGTGATTAATTATTGAGCAATAGTGAAATGAATTGTGATAGTATACTAATATGCATAGACACTGATGCGCCCGGACTTATTACTTGATTTTTTTGTATGAATTTTGTGAGAAATTTGCAAGACTTTGTTTGTTAGAAACCCAATCAATCGTGTTTTAAACGTGATTTTTCGGCAGGTACGTAGCTACAACCGATTGATACCCGTTCGTTCCCAAATTTGGCGGTAAAGCCAATTTGCTAGTGAGATTTGGCAGAGCCCAGTCGTTACGGAGCGAGCGAAGCGAGCGTAGTCTTTCCTTAGATTAACGGAAATTTCTGAGTATGAGCGGCCGGCCGGCCGGCCGGCCGTGGTCACGCTTTTGCGAGGCTTATATCTCAGCAACCACTTGACCGATTTACACGCGGTAATTTTTGTAGGGTAGCTTCATTCCTTCTACCAAGTATTGGACTATTCCCGATGCATGTGGGTGACCCCTTATGCACGTGCCACGTGCAAAACGAAGAGGTGTCAGTTTTGTAATTGTTGCAATATCTCGGTAACTACTTGGCCGATTGCGCTGAAAGTTGGCATGTAGGTAGGCACCCACTAGGCACTGCATATACATGTGCCAGAGTTGGGGTGCTGCTGCACGTGCGCACGTGCAGGGGTCGTTTCCAGATCTCGGGAACGGCTGGACCGATTGCGCTCAAATTTGGTACACGGTTAGGGACCGGTTAGTAGGGTGCCGTGCACAAGTCAGTTGGGACCCATTTTGCACGTGCGCACGTGCAGGGTGCCGCTTCCAGATCTCGAGAACGGCTGGGCCGATTGTGCCCAAATTTGGCACATTGCTAGAGACCAGTTAGTAGGGTGTCATGCACAAGTCAGTTGGAGGTACCCCCTCGCAATTTCGCACGTGCAAGGCCCACCCTCTCGCTCGCTCCGTTAGTCGCCCCAAAAGGCGTTATACTGGTAGTATTTCGTGTCGTTCACTGATTTTTACCGAGGCCCGGGATCCTGTAGAGATTGCCTCTGCTGAGACGGGGCTGGTGATTGATGCCTTTGATCAGCAGTTCCAGTTAAACCACCTTGGATGGCGTTTTATATCGTCAGCTTATTAGAATCTTGAAAGGCCCAGATGGGATTTTTGTGCCTGATCAACCCTGGTTGATTTAATGTGACTGGCACTGAAAGGAATGACACGTATGGTTTTGGATGGCCGAACATGGCTGTAAATCCCTAGGAGATTTTGCCCATTTAGATTGTTTCATTGCATAATATCGAAATGTCTGGCGTTGATTGTAACTTATAGCTTTTCTTTATGTGAAATTTAACTGTTGATGCAGGTTTAACCCTCGCCGGCCGAGGGGGGGGGGGGCGGGTGCCGCCCCCCCATAGGGTTTTTTCGCGATAGCTCCGAACACGCTGGCGATAGAAAGCTGAAACTTGGCATACCTGACCTTTGATCCAAGCCGCATCTTTTGACACCAACCGCATTTTTGGGTCAGGTCAGGTCACTGACCTATGACGTCATAAGTGAACCTCTGCACGGTCTTCAGATGTCGCAACTTCGCAACGCCCTCACTGCCAGAGGAGATGTCACAGGGAAATGAAACTTGCAGGATCTAGTATCCATCATGAGTCCCACAACTTGTATATCTCGGATTTTTCCTAAAGGTCATATGAGGTCAGGTCATTTTCGTGACCTCACCATTATAAGTCAATCGGGAAAAATGAAAACTGCTATTCTGGCGCCGGGAACGATCTCCAACTATCTCAAGCACACAGAATCGTGATTTTATGCACTCCTTGCAAGGTTAGATGCGTCACTTTGCAATGTTGACCTTGCGTGACGTCATTTATGACGTCATCAAGGTCATTTTAGTTTTTCGTCAATAACTCTTGATCAAATTGAGCTAGCGAGTCGGAAAAGCCACCAATGGACTCAGGAAGACCTGCCGAATCGAATGATATGCGACATGACCCCTTTCGACCAACTTCGTGACCTGGGGGTGCTGACCTGACCTTGACCTGAGGTCAACACCCCAAGTTGACCTGACCCGGACAAAAAGTATATCATTCGACGCGCCTGAGCGAGACGAACACGATGCTGCCAAAATCGGCGCTCTGCGGCCGTTTTTTGCGAAGTTATTCACCAAAAATCTTGGAATCATCAAGGATCTTGATCCTTGATCCTTGATCTGGGTTGGGTCGCTGTGTGGAGCTCCTGCTTTCCGTGCCTATTTCCTCCCTTTCCCAGGGTAAGTGATTATCGAATGGCCACTTGTTGTCTTTATTAGGCGTTGCTGATTTATATTAATCAAAAGCTCACCATATATTGTTCTAATTGCCTCTCTACAGGCGGTAAGATATCCTATACTCAAATCTGGCGCGCCTCCAAGGACGTTTGTTTACGTTTGCGCTGCGTCTCCGTGAGCGATCAGCTGGAACTACGAATCAGCTGACTGAATGCGACTAGTCTCGTAAACTCTCGCGGTCTAACGCCAATTCGCGAAACTTGGCCGGCCGCCGGCCGCGCCGGCCGCGCCTTCGCCCAGCACAAAGGCGCTGGATAGATACAGTTGCAATTTTTGCAGGTGAGACCATAATATGATTTCCTGGTGAGCACTCTCCAGGCTGGTTATGTGCATCCTGATTAAGTTGAATTTATAAAACGAGATAGCCACTAGATAGGCTGCTGAGTCAATTGTGACGCACTCCTAGAAGATCTTTTCCAATATTTTCCACCTTGGTCTATTCCTGACCCAATTCGATCAGTGTACAGGCAATTACTAGCGGGCTTTCAGGTTTGCTTAAAAACAACCCTAAAATGGGGCCTACCCAGAAGGAGCAGATTGAGCGACTTTCTGCTGAAAACGCTGACCTCAAAGAGAAAGTGAGTAGTTTGACTGAGACAGTGGGCCAACTCAAGGCTGCACTTGACCTACTTAGTGTTGAGCATGGGGAAACTGCTGTCAGGGTAGAAGCAGTTGAGGACAATCTTTGCCAGGTTAGAACTGAACAGAGGGAGTTGGAGCGAGATCTGACGTCCACTATGCTGCGCCTGGAAGGTCAACAGATGTATAGTAGGAAGCAGACTCTGTTACTCACAGGTGCTGCAGTTGAGATGCCTACCAGGGGTGAGGATACAAGGGATGTGGTGCTGAAGTTGCTCTCAACTTACCTTGGGATTGCTGACATCAATAAGTCTGACATCAGTGCATGTCACAGGCTGAAAAATCCCAAGGTAATCTTGGTGCGATTCATCCATCTTGACAACACTGATCGAGTCTATAGGGCTAGGACCAAGCCCAAGAGACGGGGCCTCCTGGTCTTCGAGTCGTTGACCACTGAACGTCTGTCTGTCATTGAGATGATCAAGGCTCTCAAAGATGACCCAAGGTCATCTGTACTTTCATATTTTACCCAGGCGGGAAAAATATTTGTTAGGACATCAGAGAGCAGGGATATCAAACCAATTGAGATCCCCTTTGGATGTGGACTTGAGCAGATCCGTGAGCTTTGTGAGGGCAAAAAAGTTGCTCCCTCTGACTCAGTCATACGAGACCAATTTCGAGCCATCCATGCTCGCACACCAGTTGCCGATCGTGTCCGTGCCCAGACTGGATCTGGCTCCGGGACTGGCCAGTGGGTTGATGTTCAGCGCAATCGCAAGAAAAACAGAAACCAGAGGATGCCTCCTGTGTCTGAGAGGACCCCTCAACCTCAGGGGCAGGTGGCAAGTGGGCTGCCTGGTGGCTCTGGTGCTGAACAGAGGCCCACTGGTCAGTCTGAACATGGGGCCCATGCTGGGACTGCTCAGAATGGTGCACAAGCTGACTCACAGCCTGGGCCTGGAGTGGGTGGGGGGCCTGGAGAAAGTGGAGGGCCATCTGTCCCATTACCCTCTGATGCATAGAATGCCAATTTGATCTGACAGCTCTGATATGAGTACCATGGATGTACTGACCGGCTATTCCTAGTGTTACTTGTCTTTTGATTTTTTTTTTCTTTCATCTGTTGTTTTTCTTCTTTTGTTTTTTTCCCAACATAAGTATTACTGCTACTGGAGCTTACTTTGTTAAGGATGAGGGTGAACTGCTTCGGTTTCTTCCCAATGATACCCCAATCGTTGGTCATGTTCAATTAGATGTTCCCAACCTTCTGGCTGTTGCAAACAATTGTTCAACTTTCCTTCCATCGCAGTCAGCCAGCTTGTTTGAACAAGGCAATATCACTTTCCTTCACATTAATGCTAGGTCATTGCACCAAAGCCACAATGAGGTTGTTACTTTGGTGCATGGAGCAAAACAAAATGCCGATTTCATCCTCATTTCAGAAACCTGGCTTGACCCGAGCCTAATCATTCATTATGGAATACCCGGATATGAACTGTTTCACTCCATACCTGATGCTTGCATCACTGGCAAAGGTTGTGCAATATATGTAAAAAGAGAGTTATTTCCCTTTTGCAAAATCCAAGATAGCCTGTGTGCTCAAGAGATTGAGTTCCAATCCATATTCTTGCTGGTCTCAGTGCCACACAAACCATCGTTCCTTGTTGCCACAGTGTACAGGTCTCCTTCGTACCCTGTGAAGCTATTCATGGAGTATGTTGAAGATACCCTGACTAAAGTCATTCACTTTAACAGACCTTGTTTCTGGGGAGGCGATTGGAACATAAATTTATTCAATTACAATGAGGAGACTGATTCCAAGTTATTCCTGGACTGCCTTAATTCATTTGGATTTTATCCCACTATCACTGTTCCAACTCGCATTGCAACTGTGCCACCTTATAAGGCCTCATTGATTGACAATATTTTTACCAACGCTCTTGGTACCATTACAAACAGTGGTACATTATGTTGTGGTATAGCAGACCATCAAGCTATTCTTTGCTCCTCGAATTTGATATCAAACAAAAGGTTAGAAACAATTCGTCCTTCTACCCAGCCTAAGTTTAATTACGATAGGATAGATGACTTGAGGGCCGCCATTACGGAACGCCTGGTTGGATACTACGCTATTGATGACCCAGAGATAGCTGCAGAGAGGCTGGTCTCAATTGTAACTATAGAGACAGACAAGTTTACTTTGCCTTGCTCTTCAAGGCGTTTTTCTCCTATCCAACCATGGATGACTCCTGGTCTCTTGAGGTCTATCGAGGTGAGAAACAGGCTTCTAAAGCAATTTCTTAGAGAGCGTTCATCTGAAAATAAAAACAAGTTCACAAAATATCGAAATACCCTTAGGCTGGCTATTCGGCATGCAAAGAAGTCATACTTTAGGGCTCAGTTTCACAAGAATCAGCAGAATCCTAAACGTTTGTGGGCAGACCTGTTGGAAGCCCTAGGGACCAAACAAAGACACCCTGACCTACCAGACAGATTTCAAATTGGGGAGACGGAAGTCGAAAACCCCAGTTTAATAGCTGATTCATTTAACCAATACTATGGCCAAGTTGCGCCCTCTCTTGACTCGGCCCTTGGCCCCAGTGACAGGGACCCTATGTCTTACCTTATCCATTTTGATGTACCCCATGTGTTGACTTTCTGCCCTGTTACCCAAAACCATGTTCTCACTACTGTTCAATTGTTAAAGGATGCAAGTGCTGGGCTTGATGGCATTAGCACAAAACTTGTCAAAGCCATCCTTCCAACTATCTTACCAGCTTTAACCCATATGCTCAATTTATGCCTATCCAAAAGCATCTTTCCCAATGTTTTTAAAACTGCTCTTATCACACCTGTCTATAAGGCAGGATCTCGAATGCAATTTGGTAATTATAGACCAATTTCAGTCTTGCCAGTGTTCTCAAAGATTCTTGAGACAATCATTCATCATCAGATTGCAGCGTTCATTTCGGAGAATAACCTTATCTACGATCTCCAATTTGGGTTTCGAGCAAAACACTCTACTTACATGCCCATTGCACTGTTACACAACTATGTCACCTCAAAACTTGCTGAGGGACATGTCTCAGCCTGTATCTATCTTGATTTGGCCCGAGCTTTTGATACTGTAAACATAACTATTCTGTTGAAAAAACTCTCTAAATATGGTATTACCGGCGAAGCATTGAATCTACTTACATCTTATCTTTCAAACAGAAAGCATCAGCTAAAATATAAAGGCATCATTTCGGATGCACATGATGTCACATGCGGGGTCCCACAAGGATCCGTGCTCGGTCCTTTGCGGCTACTATCTCTGAGTCATTCCCAAAAGTAACAGCATGGCTACATGCAAATAGGCTGTCACTTTCAGTATCTAAAACGTTCTACCAAATCTACTCTCCTCAAAGTATTTCTGTTATAGCAACAGAATAGCAATGACCTTGCTATAACAGTCAATGGTGTCAAGCTGAAACGGACTTTTACTGTCAAATATCTTGGAATTTTAATTGACGAGGACCTTAGATTTAAGTCACACATTAGGAAGGTTTCAGGAATTGTGAGTAGAAATCTAGGGATTATAAGCAGGGCCAGATACATGTTTGACAGAGAGCTCCTACTTCTCCTGTATAATGCCCTCATATTGCCATATCTCACCTATTGCCTTGTCATCTGGGGATCAAACTATGAGTCGGCTATACATCCCATCGTTATCGTACAAAAACGGGCTATTCGAATTATTTCTGGAACGGGACGTATTTCGCATACTTCTCCTTGGTTTAGACAACTAAAAGTTCTTAAGATCGCTGACCTACTGTCTTATCAGTTGCTGCTTATATTGCACGACTTTTTGTTTGGTCAACTTCCCCGCCCCATTGCTGATAAGTTTAAGATCCACCACTCAAGCAGAAATACGAGGGTAAACCAACACTTTTGCGAGCTGGTCCGGTCCAGTGATAGTGAGGTGCTGCCAAATTACCGTCACTTCAACTATCTCTTATTTAGTTTATTTTACCAAGCTCCCAGGGTTTGGAATAAAATCTTGGTACAACGTATACCAAACATGAATGATATCCCTGCTAGTAAATGCCTGTTTAAAAAGTGTCTTAAGCTAATCTTTACAGAATCCTATTAACAAGACTTCATTGCTTCGTTCCCCTCACCTCCATTTGTCATAACTCCTCTACGTATGTGCGTTTTCTTTTCTTTTAGGATAAGCTATTCCGCAGTCGACCCGCTGCTTAGTTATTGCAACACCTGATTTTTGCACAGCACGGTAGGCCTCAGGAAACTCTGCGCCCTTTACCCTGCCGTGTTGTTGCCCCTAATTAAATTGTGCATATCTATTTTCTACACTGCACTTGCTCTCAGACGTCATTAATTGGCAATCAGCGAGCTTATTATGATTTCCAAATTCTTTTATAGCTTACTATCGGTGGCCATTTGATTCTCGCGCCCAAAACCTATCTTCCCGACCTATGTTGTGACTGACCATCAGCCTAACGTCCTCTCGCCATTTGTCCCGATCCACAGCCGGGCTGCTGCGCTTCTGACCGCGGTTCGGTCGGGCGTTGCGGCCGCCTGCTGGGGGCCACCCGACTGCTGGGGGCGACCCGAGCGATGAGCACTCGCCAACCGAGGACTGGCGACCTACAACGGGGCCTGTGGCTGCCCTCGGACGTGGGCCGTGGGAGGCGGCGTGGAGGAGCCGAGGAGGTGCGGCTGCCGGCGCTCGGGGGCCGCTGCGGCTCACAGATGCGATGCGGCTCCCCCTGGATGGCGTCCTACTCCTGGGGGCCGCTCGGCTGTTGGCGGCGGCGGGCCTCTACTCGCTGACTGTCAGTAGCGATGGGCGCCCACCTGCTGAGGACTGACGACCTTCAACGGGGCCTGTGGCTGCCCTCGGACGTGGGCCGTGGGAGGCGGCGTGGAGGAGGTGCGGCTGCCGGCGCTCGGGGGCCGCTGCGGCTGGCAGATGCGATGCGGCTCCCCCTGGATGGCGTCCTACTCTTGGGGGCCGCTCGGCTGTCGGCGGCGGCATCCTGACCCCGGCTGCTCGACTGCCAGCGGCGGCGGGCCTCTGCCTGCTGGGGAGTGCGGCGGCCTAGGACACACTACCCGTGGCCTGGATGGTATGCGACTACCGGCCCCCTGGTGCCGCTACGAGGAACAATGACGTTGCGCCTCTCAAACTAGGATTGGCCTGGGCCGGGCGTGACGGCCGGTCGAGTTCGGTGTCCGGTCGGCTGCGCCCGACCGGACCATTTGACTGTCGACGACGGGCCTACGCCGTCAGGGATAACATCGGGACTGGGCTATTGCGCCTGGACGTTGAACCGCTGGCCGCGGCCAGGATGGCGTGTGGTTGCGGGCGCTCATGGGCCACAATGATGGAATTTGTGTTGCGGCTGTCTCTGGTCCTGGACACGGGCCGATAACGGGTGTGATATCTGGTGCGTTCGGCTGTCTGAGGTGGTGGGCCTCGGCCTGTTGGGGGCTGAGATAGCCTTGTGGCGGGCCGAGCGATGGCGCCCAGATGTGGACCACTGACTGCGCTGGATGTCATATTGATTGATTGATTGGCACCGTCAAGCATTCCCTCACAAACCTTTAACACTAACTGTCCTCACTCTAACAATACTAACTTGCGAATCCTTTTCCAGCCATTCCTGCTTGGCGGTGCCACCGATCGGTGTATACCTACACGTGTGTTTGTATATGCACTATCAGTTATCCGATGATTACCTAATACAATACCGGTGACTCCGGACATGCAAAAAAAAAAAAAACTAAACCGTACCTTGGGGCACTTGACCTGACCTCAGAGGTCACCGGTTGACCTAGGACCTTAAAATCGGGTACCAATCTCTGCGTCTCGTAACGGCGCACACGCTCGTTTTTTCCGCGACGCGCTAGCTCCACCAGGGGCGAAACGGCGAGGGGGGGGGGTGTCGTACCCGCCCCCCCCTCGGCCGGCGTGTATGTAGAAAACCAATAGGTCCGGCGAGGGTTAAGGTGAATCCTAGATCAAGAAGTGACCAGTTGCAATAGTTATATTGGGGGCATGGCGGCAATTTACGGTGCACTTTATTTCATTGATGAAACCCAGAAGCATTGTCGAAGGACGTGATTGTGACCTCTGTGACAGCTTTGTGTGTGCTTGCATTTTTGCATCACGAACAAGATTTGGACCTTTCTACACTTGGTCAGCCCGGTGGTGTAAATACATACGTATTTACAAAAGGTCTATGGTCAGTGTAAACTGTAGGTATCAATATGCCTAGTTGCCTAAAAATGATATGTTTATCTTCAATCATGTGACTGACATGTGAGACTCCATGAAATTATAACTGTGGTAGCACTGTATGTAGATTGTAGAACGAAACTGGCTTTAAACCTGCTGAAACTGCGTGACTTAACTTACTGGCTAGAGTCATTCACCTATCGATCAGTGGAACACAAAGACTGACCGACACTCCAGAACCTATAACGCAGTGACGTAGGTCGTTGATCCCGCCTCCCGGCAGTTGCTGAATGAAACTCACAGTCCGTCACTTCTCAAAAGGAGGCACAGCTAGCCATGTCAGAGCTAAAGCGAGCGAACTGAGATGGCGATCAGCTGTCGCCATGAAAACGAATGGATTGGTTCGGAGCTAGTGGCAGTGATGCCTTCCGTCGCTAGATGGCACTGGTAGTCGACGCCTGGACGCTATGCTGTGCCGCAGTTGTCGGAGTTATTCCTTCAGTCGCTAGATGGCACTAGTGATAGACGCCTGGAAGTTAGGCTGTGCCGCACGACCGATGGAACGAGGCGGGATGGACCGAGCGGCTCCGGCGCTGCGGAAAACCCGAATAAAGCGGCCTTAGAAGATAGCTAATCCTTCTAATTCATGTGAACCGGCACTAACAAGAACTTGTTTGAAGTTTGCGTTCCTCTGGTTTAAAAGTGACTTTCTGTCCGAGCTTCAGAGGGATTTTGCGGTAATATGGTTGCTTAGATATGGTTCGTGTTTCAGGAGTGAGGGATTGTTAGGGGATGTTCTGCACCTCTTGGCTATCAGTACCTAAGTCGGGGATCAGACGTTCTACACTAAGACTTACTACACAGTACCTTCACATTGAGTCGTCTGCAATATCAAGTGCAATCAGCACAAGTCACTTCGACAGCTATGTGTGAGCATTTGCATAGCTATGAGGTATGCAAACGCACAAGAATTCACTGATTTAGGTAAAGCTCTCAGGGCCTTACTACGCTCTTCTATGGAAGGCACGGATAACTCTATGCATCAGGTCCGTGCACCGTCAAACTCGAAAACATTTTTTTTACTGAATCATATTCTTGATGACGAACAAATAGCAACACTTTCCCGACAAAATAAACATTTTTGTGGGTCCCTCAGGCGTAGCGTACTATATTTAGGGGAGAGCGGGGAGAGTTGTATCATGTCCAAGTTGTATCAGGGCTAATTGTGTCAAACTTATCCAATGGATGGCGCTCGTGATACGACCAGCCGACGAGGTTTTCCGGGCGCCATCTTTCCCTGTTCTGTCGTGTGGCTGGGTGGACGCGTCTCGAGGTGAGAGCCGATTTTATGTTTTTTTAATGTCATTCTAAAAAAATAAGTTGTAAGAAAATGTGTGTTTTGGGCATTTAGATGTGCACGAATTTGAAAGATCTCCGTAGCGGTGGTGAGGGTAGGTTCTAAGGCTGCGTGAGTGAAAATGGATTTCTCCAGCTGTCCGCTGTTTTTGAGCACGAGGATGTTTTTCCAAGATGGCGGCGAGGTACATGTTGTATCAGAGCCGGGTGGGGTATGTTGTAACATGTATGTATGTATGTATGCATGGGTATGTTGCTTTTGATCGCAAAAGCTAAGCCCTGGCTCGCGTTTGTAGGTAGCTAGTCAATACTCGTTCCATTTCGGCACAATGTGTTGGCTTCTTTGCTCTTAACGGGCCACTTTTGCGTCTAGTCTGTTGATGTTTCGTTCGTTTCGATGTTTCGTTCGGATTGACCTAAGTTTGGTCTAATAAAAGTGAAGCCTTTGAGCATATACATTGTATTAGCCCCATTTAATGTTGTTGTTATGTTCAAAACCAGTAGCAAGCACACTCCCTGAAACGTGAAATAGTGATACAAATTACCCCACCATGTGATACAACTCACCCAAGCCATGGGGCAGGTTGTATCAAAAACATTGTTCTATTCGGCAGACCGTAAAAGAAAAACTGGTTGAGGTAGCGGAAAAGTTACTTCGCACAAAAAAGCAGAAGAATCAAGGAAGGAGATAGTATGGAAATAATGAGTTAATCACGGATAGTTACGAGGTTATGGGTCTCGGAGTAAAAACTGATACAACCCACCCCACTCTCCCCTATTTAAAATTCCCAGACTTGAGACCACTGCAAATGCACTAGAGCAAATATCCCTCAACACCGTAAACGAGAAAGTATTACAGATATCACTTCTAAACACCTTTATTTGTCGGCAGCCTCGCCGCGTGAGATGTCGATATCGGAGGTCCAGCCGGGTGACAATCTGGTCAACATCACTTGCCACGTGTCGGGCATGTATCCGGAGCCTCGCGTGGAGCTGTACCGTGGCGCCAACAGCAGAACCATGTGAGCGGGGGGAGGGGGTACCGGGACGGGACGGGAAGGGACGGGACGGGACAGGACGGGACTTGGCGGGATGGTGCAGGACGGCACGGGCTGGATGGAGCGGACGGGATAGGAGAGGAAGACGGGACGGGATGAGACAGACGCTAGACGCCATTAGACGTGACAGACGGGAAGAGAAAAATATGACGAGGCAACATGGAACGAGGGAGATGAGTCAGGTTTTGGGGCAGAACCTGACTGGGCGGACCAGGGCCGAGTCGGCGGACGGGGAAGGACGGATAAGACGGGACCCGACAGGACGTTGCGTGACGGGACAGGCCGGGACTGGGTGGGACGCGGCGGGTCGGGGTGTGTCTGTTGACGCTCACGGCAGACGCCCGGCCGCGTAACTTGGCACACCACCCGGCTGCCGTGACAGCCCGCCAGGGATCCGCAACTTTGGATCGGGCTGTTGCGTGTCGTGAGAAATCGAAAACAAGGCGGCTCTCTCAGACGGCAGCTGTCTTTCCGGTGTTCTAGTTTCTTATGAGGCCAGGAGGTGATCTAGCTAAAATTGAAATCACCTCGGTGTGCTGACCTATGTAATTTTAGGTCTCGATTTACATGCCCCATGCTGGCTTCATTTGTAAATGTTCAATAATGTTGGATGGCTTCTGTTGGCGCGCGAATCCAATTTGGTGTTGTGGGCTCACCCGCAGCCGTCTGATTGGTCCTGACATTCGCAGTTCAATATTAAGTTCGCTGCATAATGTAAAATATCGCCCTACCGATAACCCATTTATAAAGTTTGAATGAAATTCGGCCGGCTACATTGATGAAGTTGTACTATTCCTGCTTGTGAACCATAAACCAGGATAGCAGGTGTTCAGGCTATACTTATCACCTATTTCTGCCATCGAAGGTGAAAAACTTTTGAAATAAATCATACCTAACAAGCACATAAATTACACAACCAAACCACGTCACTCACTTTCCGTTTGTGCAGGGTTCCGATCGAGGGTCTCAACAAGTACGTCTCGTGGCGTGACGGTCTATATGACGTCACGGCCTTCTGGGTGACGCGTCACGAGCTGCTACAAGACCACACCCTCTTCGAGTGCATCATGCGAATATCAGATACCAACTATATGGAGCGAAGAGAGATCTCCTACTCGTCAGGTGAGCGATGTGACTCTGCAAAAATTGAGCGAGCGAGCGAGAGAGAGAGAGAGAGAGAGAGAGAGAGAGAGAGAGAGAGAGAGAGAGAGAGAGAGAGAGAGAGAGAGAGAGAGAGAGAGAGAGAGAGAGAGAGAGAGAGAGAGAGAGAGAGAGAGAGAGAGAGAGAGAGAGAGAGAGAGAGAGAGAGAGAGAGAGAGAGAGAGAGAGAGAGAGAGAGAGAGAGAGAGACAGACAGACAGACAGAGAGACAGAGAGAGTGAGGAGAGTGTGAGTGAGTGAGAGTGAGATGGGATGAACTACTTTCAGTCTCTGGGCCGGGCCACTTAGAGCCGGCTCAATGCGGGTGCAGCTTGCAACTCTCCCAGACAACACATTTCCATTAGCCGAATCCACCGGTATAAATGTTTCAATGTGTTTTGGCCGGTCGCACGTTTGAACTAGAGTTTCCAGAAACATTTCAGCAGCTGCGCCGCCGGTGGAGTTAAACCTAGTTTCCCGCAGGGACTGGTATACTAAAGTCCCGACATTCCATTTAAGTTGCCCTCTGCGTGAAATCCTCTTAGTCGCCAGTCTGACAAATTTAATTAAATTTCCACAGAGTACGCACTGTCTCCGGACCCACCTACAATCGTGATCTCGGGACCGTCCATCGCCAGAGGTAGGTGTGCTTGTGCTAGCCGCAGGCCGTCAGTCGGCCCGGTTCTTTATCGGTATTAGCTTGGCCCGTTCCCTCCACTGGCGGCCACAATGCCGGTGTTTGTATTCGGCGGCGGCGCCGGCGTTGCGCCGGCGGAGCGGCGGGGGTGCTGTTGCCTGTGGGCTGCCCTGATAGCATCGGAGCCCGCGCGGTGGGGCCGGCCGCGGTCGAGACGCGAGCGACGGCGAGGAGCCGGCTGGCCGCCCCGCGCCCAGCGCTCCCCTCTTGGTCGCGGCGGCGTTTGCGCTGAGAGTGCGATTCGACTTCATTTGAATATCGGATAACGCTTTGGCCGGAGGAAAGAGGAAACGAGCGGT